GAATCTTGAAAGTGTTTAGTGCAAGTGGTGTGCAGGTATATGGTGTATTGTGTACAGGGTGTTAAGTGTACAGAATGTATAGTGTACAAGGTGTATCAAAGATCTTTAGAACTTGACATATTGCGATGATTTAAATTGCTACGACTAGGCTCGGCACACTACTGCATAAACTTTGTTAGCTACGTACATATACTTGCGCAAAAGCTTTTCTGATCCTGGGAATTTGACACAAGTTCTAACAACAAAACATGGGCTGAAATGTATCACAGAGATTAGCATCGTCATCTGGTCTTGAAATTTCACGATAGGTTAGTTTCTAAATGTCGTCTTTGATACACCCTGTAGATAGCCCGTTAATATAAACGTGCCTGCTATAGTGTATATTTCGTCTACTATATTTCGGTCGGCCTTCCCCAACGTACAGTTGTACTACTTAGCGACATACGTACAATTGTACCATCGTTAGTATGTTAAACCTTCAAAATGCGTTTGGCATGACGATTTATTTATGTAACATTGCTTTGAAAATAACAAATCAGCTTAAATAGTTACATTTCGTTTATTATCATGTGGCAGTGACTTCAAATTTATCTGTGTAAATTACAAAGTACTTTCAATTAGACCTATCCATCTTGTTGTTATTCTAATTAAATAAACCCGATCTATGTATAAGTTATAACTTACCTTTTTCCTTTTATAAAGCTTCTCTTTAGTTTTTTCTTTTATAAAGCATAAAATCGAATTGATATTCGTGCAGCGGGATGAATTTAAATTGAAACTTCACATTTTTTACGCAAGTGCGGGAACCAATGGCGCGAATGATTGGTTGAAATAAAAAAAATATTGTTTGCGCTATTTACGTTTAACTTGAGTCCCCCCGAGTCCCCCCGACAGACATATTCCGCGCGTACAATCATTGTACAATCGAATTTTTGCCCGTTTATGTCTTTATGAGTGTTTGGAAATAGATATGTTTTCGAGAAAAAATAGAATAAAAACTGTATGTAAGTGACCACTAAAGATGCAATTTCAAACAAACCAAAAACCGTAAAGACATTGCGATAAATGTTTACAACACAGTATGGAATATACAGAGGTGAGTTAAATTTATTGATGATTTATTTTCGTGGATTTTGAACTAAACCGTAATTTTCAATTTTTTATGAATTATGATGTATAGTGAAATGTCCGAAAGGCAGCACATTTTTTTTCTTCATTTTATTTTATATTTTAAAATGTCATTGCCGCATTCGTTTAAGCCCGGTTTCCATATAATTGTCTCCATCTTCAATCGTCTGAAAGCGTACAAGGACGATTAGAGCGATTTTATGGAAACATATTCAAGACTATCGAAACGAACAAGGCCATCAAAGCGATTACAATCGTCAAGATGGAACTCTGTTCTATCTAGACGATTAAAACGTTTGCGTGCAATATCGTCCCTGCACGCTTTCAGACGACAGACGATCGAGACGATTATATGGAAACAGGGCTTTATGTGTTAAATTAGACTACACACCAATGACCAAGAATGTAACAGTAACAATACCATTAACCTCTGTTTGGTTTAATACTATGATGTTTTTCAAAACTTAAGTCATACTTTAAGACTTAACATAAAGTAAGATACTTTTTTACTATTCCCAAGATATTGACTTATAAGTATAACTAATCTTGCATTCTGAATTACCGATTGGAACATGGCATTATTTGCGTCTTCACAAAGCACTGTTACAATTTTACCTTATCATTTGCATTAAGCAAATCATATATTTCAAGTCAATACATTGAATCATAGTGCACTTTTTTATCTTTTTAATAGCATAGTAAGGTTATCAAAATGTCATAAAAGTTTAAGTTTGTTTTTGAAGCTAAATTAGTGAATGTTTCAATCTAGATGGCTTTCTATCAATGTTATCAATTATAGATTGCCTTGATTTTGGAGAGAGAAATTTAAGCAAAGGGGCTCTTTCCCTCAAAGACCAATTTGAACCCTTTCATCATGCCTAACTTGCATCTTAATATACGTAAATGATACATTGGAATTACAGAGTTTTGTTTTACCAACCTTGGAGTATTACAGGAATTTCTTACTTTGTTTTATATCTTTCTAATCTCTCTACATTTCTTTAGATAGCTTCAACCAACTTCTCCAAGAAGCTAGACCTTTCCTTTGTTTGAAAATTCATCTGTGGCTATAGTTGAAACTTGTATTAAAGATGAAGTTAGTGGTGGGGTGAATCAACATGAGAATCTCCATTCGACAAATATACTTACCCAAAGTTGTCGCATCTTTAAGGAAACTATAGAAGCAAGGCTTGCCTAGAAACAGTGCATTTTTTAGTGTCATTGATGAAGGGGTGTTTTTTATTTCACATCAACTGCATCACAACTTTGACAATTTGGCTATCTTCTGTTTTGATAGGTGAAATTATAACCTGCCTTATTTTTACAACAATATTCTTCCAATTCGCACATTTCCACAATTATGGAACACTTAATTTATACATTGCAGATTTTTTGCCTTAATTAAGTTATAAAATGGAAAATTATGTCCATAATAGCATTTTCAAAGAACAGACCATGACTAATGTCTGCCAAAGGAAAAAGTATGAATCCAACAGAGCAAGTTGAAGCTAATAGAGAGGAAAGGGTTATTTTAAATATATGAACATGTCTGTTGTGGGTTTTCAACTCTTTGCTACCTGTTGTAGGAATCAAGATGCACAAAAAACTCAACCTTTTTGTTTATTAGTTTATTGTCATTATTCATATTGTATAATCCTTAATCACTATGGATTTCAAAAGAAATTAATTAACTAACGTAGTAAAACATGTAACCAGTATATAAATATTAGTGCCCCCCCCCCCAATCATTAATTAATAACCATTACGCAACAAAATTCCCTCCCCCAAAAACATGTTTTCAGTCATGTTTTTTTTTTACATAATCATCTTATTAAAATTTTTTGCAACTTGATCCTACAGTTGTTGGGACATGTTTTTCAAACATAAAACAACTATTACACTAAACCAAGCATCAACACAAAGTAATGACAAAAATTCTATTCAATACAATTCTAAAACGATTCTATACTTATCATAAGAAAATCTTCTCGAGATGCCCCCCCTCCCCCTTTCATAGCGTCGAAATCATTTAACGCCTCACTGAATCCGGTTAACCAGGCTCATATAAACAGCCCTTTAAGTGACTAATTTTCCGTTGTTAACATTTCTTTAATTAACGTCGTGACTAAATTTTTATTGTGAATGGCTCCTTAGGAGCATGTCATCTATCAAAAAGACTTGCGTTCAAATCAACTTCAATGCGTTTAAAAAAAAGTCATTTGAATTTTCAGATTTTTTACGTTTTAATGTCGTTATGCAAAGTAACGATGCATGATGTTGTAGGTTTAGATTCATGAGACGATATTAAATTTGGAAACTATACTTTAATTTTGTCCAAATATTTATGAATCTTGCAATCGATCTTGCTATGTTAAGGTTAGGAGAGGGTTTAAGGGTGTTTTGGTTGACGTCACCAACATCTTAATGCCGAAAACGATGATATTTGTGTTATTTAATAGGCTGAATAACTTTAATTAATTAAGGATTTGCGTAATATCTCAGAAAAATGGTCAAAAACTTTTTGCATTTTACGTATATTAATGAAGGGAGAGCATATTTCTTTTGTTTGGCAACAATACGTTTTGTTTTTAAAAATTAGATTTGATAAATATCTGGTAATTTGATCAAGTACGAACAAGGAAGGTTAAATAATTATGTGGAACAAATAGATATAATGACATGCTTAACACCATGCATAAAGGTACTATTCACTTCAAATTTTGTCCCGTATAAACCATGAGGCGTCGTGGAAAGCAGATGTTGTTCACATGAGATGGAACAAGAGTATACACATAGACGACAAGTATAAAGATTTGTGATTCTGCAAAGCAAAATAAAGGTGTCGCCTTGAAACCATTTTGAAATGTTTTACCCACGTACTTACTTCGGTATCATGTATAAAAAGAAAACCCTCGGCTGGAAACTAAATGTAAGTGACTACGCTGACGATAAATGATTATTTGCTTCTTCATTTATCTCTATATTGTTCTTCTTAAAATCTCAATGTTTTTTATTGATGCTATTGACTTTTGGTTTATTTCTTCAATGTCACATTAGTCATTATTGAATAGATGCAATGATAAATACACTAAATTTATCGTCTGTCTCCAACGCACTATGTGGTTGAGCGCTAGAGGTGCAGTTTTTTCAGATTGTGGTGAAGAATTGCAATGAACGAGATCCATAATTGTCTTTAGCTCGAATTTCTTACAATATTTTTAGTAGTCGAGAAAACTTAGGGCAAGCAGAATGCATTCAAACCCTCTCCTAACCTTTACCTAGCAAGATATGACTACAAGATGCAATAAATAATTGGACAAAATTAAAGTCTAGTTTCTACATTAATTAACGTCTCTTGAATCCCAACCTACAACATCATATCCCGTTACTTTGCATAATGCCATATAAATGCAAAAAAATCTGAAAATTCTGACGAATTATTTTTATTTAAAAGCACCGAAGCCTTTGCTGAAGGATTACTTATTGTCTTTTTGAATATGTAACATGCCCCTAAGGAGACAATTACAATAAAAAATTTCAGTCATGAATTCAATTAAGGGAATGTTAACAACGGTTTAGTCACTTTAATGTTAGAAAATAAGATAAATTCTCTCCTTTTTATTGACTAAGTAGTGAAGTATGAGTTACATGGAATAACAAGTAGTCTTATTTGTTTGGTTTGTAATATGAAAGCTTTCACTTTAAAATGCTTCGACCACGATGTTAAGCCTTTGATCGTTTAAAAGTTCTTGTTGCATTGTTCAATTTTCAAACTCAACTGACTAATGCTCTTCATGCAATGTAGGAAAATGTTTTACCATTTGGATAATCAAACAGAAAACATATCTGATTCATATTTTCTTATATTTTAGATCCCACTTGGATGGAGTTGTGAATATCCCTTTACCACCTGTGTCATTGACTTCAGTTACTCTTAATGGTTTGTCATTACTCATGTGTCATGGTGATTCATGGCCAAGAATGTTCATTTGTAGTTTGGATTCTTTGTTGATGTCAGTTGCTTGCTCATATAATGATGATGGGCCCCATTGTTAGATGAGCCACCTAAAGGTGGTCAGCTGATACTCACAGAAGATCAACTCTGCACTAAGCATTCTTTGAGTGACGAGTGATGAAGTGTTCCCTTTTCCTTTGCTTGAATTTACCAATTGTAATCTATAGAAATAGCGATTCATGATCTCAGTAGCTACTTTATTGGTTAATGATGCTGGTAACTTTGTGTATGGAATGGTACAAACGTTTTGAATGGACATCGTATAACGGCATATGTACGTATGAACATTAACATTGGAGTGAGTGGAATATAAAAACGTCTGTATTCTACGAAAATGGAAAACAAGCGAGTAGAAAAACACAATCCATGTCTTGTGGTTTGTAAGTCGAGTAGATAAGTGTTAAAATTAATTTTCATAAGTAACTGCATGAGATCGTTAAAAAGGATCCTGAAGGTCTATTTTTATAATTTGAACCATAATTAAGAAAAACTCCCAAATTAAAAAGAATATCAATAAAAGATGTCACTTGCTATGAGAAAATAGCTGGCTTTCACTCGCTACTTTTTCCTAATTTTATTTAACGTTTATAAGGAAAATTAAAATGCTGCAAGTAGTGTTCATTAAATTCCTAAGATAAAAATGTTGCAATTAATTTCAACGATATACACGCAAAAATTGCGCGGTGAAAAAAGGAAGGGCCCGACTAAGTCGCCTGGATCAGACTGTTCAGGACAACGCTTCGAAATCAGGTATGAAAATTTTGTTCTTTTTCCATATATTTAAATTCTGCTTTTGTTCATTCATTATGCTGACATTTATAACGTGTTTTTTATAGAGAAGCTATATCTAGGCCTACTAACTGTGCAATGAATGAACGATCAAGTCAGACAGAAGCACCAAGAGACAAGTGTCCTTATTGAAAGATTCACACTGGCGACTTTTATTATGCATAATGCTTAACAGTGAAACGCATTTTCAAATTCAACAGTTAAAAAACTCCGTAAAACTAAATTTTCACAATTGTTAAAATTGTTAAAATTTCTGACAAAAAAACTCGAGTGAAAGCCAGCTATTAATGAAGGTCTTAATGAAGCAAAGTAATTATTTTGAATCAAACAAAGTCTAGTGTACATCAAAACTGATTTTTATGCAAGTCATGACGTCACTTTGGTCATTTCATTTTTCATTGTTATTAAAAGGTGAATGGTCAGGTCGCGCAATTTTTTGTCGCTCTGAAAATTGTACGCTGTACGATCTGATTACGCTACGTGTTAAAGTAGATCATCGGGATCATTAAATACAACAAAAATATGAGACATCTTAAAACTACAAAAATTTAAAGAAATTTTTCTAAATTTTTGATCTTTTCTTTTATGTGGAGGGTTTTTACCGAATCCACCAGTTTTTCCTCACATTTCGTTTTGTTTTGGAAAAAAACAGTGTCCACATTTCGGGCCAAGCAAAGCTGTTTTTCAGAACACTATTTATTGTAGCTGTCATGAATATTCTCGTTTCTTTTCTTCATTTCATGGCCTTTGGGTATCTCTCAAAACACTGCGATTATTAAGTACATGACTTACATTTAAAGAAAAATAGTACGCAATGCGTACATGTTGTTAGCCTACAAGTATATAGCTACTGAATGAAGTAGATCTAATCAACATATTTAAAATAGAATTTTATATTTAATATTATTTATGCCACACTTTTTTAAGATTTGAAAATGCTTTTAGTTATATGACCAAGCAATTTCGTAATCCTGGAATCCGATACGATACTACCAAGAAGAATTTCGTGTTGTGATTCTGTTTTCATGCAGAGAACTACCTATGAAATATAGTAAAGGTCCTTTATCACTGGTGATGCAAAATGCAAAATGATTTGACAAAAACGTGGAATCAAGCAATCACAAAACCATGTAGTCTGATCATGAAAACCCAAGGAAATAGCGTTTGCGACCTCTCTTTTCTTCATTTTTTAATTTTTCCCGGGGGATCGTGTCCGTCGTGAGATTGTGGCTCAAGCCTTCATTTGCCCCAATTAAAGCCTATAAAACGATGGAAGTCTATAGTTATTTCGTGTCTTGCTGGGTGAATCTTTTGTTGACAAAAGGAACAGACAATAGTAAAACTGTCATTTTTTCCAGTAGAAGTTGACTTTATAATTTATTTTGTGACTTCTTATGAAGTAAAATAGGAATCAAATATATGAACACATAATACTACCTTTTATCTATTTCATATTATTTTCATATTATTTTGAAATATATCGTAATTAATTCATTCTGTTGCATTCAGACACAAATACATGTCATACAGACACGACGAAGCTGTGTCATCATTAATATTTACACAATAAATGCTCATGATTGTATTAATAATATTTAACAAAAAAGTGAGGTACACACTACTAAAATTTATGTCCCCCGGGCGTTCCCCATTTTTTGTAAAATCGCTGATTTTGTCGGAAATTTGAAGACAACTGAATGTACTGAAATTCATAAAAATAATGCTGGAAGGATATTGTGGAATAATTCTTATGAAACCAAAAATTCTTTTATCAAATTGACTAATTTTCGTCAATTAACGAAAGAAATTAGGTTAACTAGCGTGAGTTTATACACATGATATTTAATCATATAGTATTTCTATTCACGCAGAGATCATATGACATTCTTTCTGAGATCAATAGTTTCATTTTCTAGTCATCGTATTCATTGAAGAAGACGCCTTGCGAAAATTTCGATAAAATTGTGCAAACCATTTTCATCAAAAGGTAAATATCATGTATTAAGTATTTGTTGTTGGAATTTCAGTGACATAAGTAAAGTACATGGGAACAAACTCCTGAATTCGAATTCCAGTTTGTCACAGATTGTTAAGATTATTTCCGTGAATTTTCGCTATCTATATGTTGCTAAAATTTTAAAAAAATGGGGGAATGATTGTAAGCAATGCAAATTTACATGCGTTCCCAAAGACTAGTCAATGTAAAACACTTTTAATTACTGCTTGTGATTAAGAGGTTAACTAAAAGCAGCTTCCACAAGATCGAAATATCTTCGAGTCTTCGACAGAAGATAAAAATCATTTAATAAACATTTGCTCCTAGAATAGTTGGGACATAACACTTCCCAAATTTGTATTTATTGTTACATGTTTCGTTGTACTAATCACTGCAATGTTTGATGAATTTTTGATATTCGTTTTTTAATTAACAATAGTTGATATATGTGATTCTACAGTTGTTTTAATGTGAAATGAACAAACGCGCAATGCGTGATTGTTGTTGGCAAATTATATTTCAAAAATCGAAAGAGTTTTTCAATTTGTCTGTTGAAATTAAATTTTATTCTTAAGGCGTCGACAGCAGTAGACTGCATTTTATTTTATCGCTTAGAGTCAAAAGTCAACATATTTATTTGAGAAATGACAAAAGGCTACTCTTCTTAACGGCTTTCACTTTTATTATGCACCGCGTCTGCGTCCGCAAAGAATGATGGGTTTTGTTACGACGTAATGACGTATTTGCACATGTGATATTGTATAGATCGCAATCTCTTACTTCGTCATGATCATTCTCGTTGAACAGAAATCATTTTCCTTATTGACTTTAATGCATGGCTATGAGCACGGTACTTATTACGTAGTTGCAACTCTAGATGATTTGTAGTCGATGTTTATTGAAATTAAATGATATTTTAAAGTCAAAATTGACTAATTCATCTAGTTTGACGGGTTTTTTTCTTTATACTGTGAATCATGAGCGCCGACGAGGACGTTGATAACGTTGATCAACTAGAATTAGACAGTGTTTTATGTACTGAAGAAGGTAACATGTTTGAAATATTAAAGAATTTTCATTGAATTATCAACCTAAAGGTTAGAGTCCTACAGATCGTTTCAAAGATAACCATAAGCGTTCGATTTCTTTGATATTTATTAAAACAAAGCAAGTGACGTTTGTCGTTTTGTCTCGACTCAAGACATCTTCAAAGGAGATGTAATTACTTAGATAGTTAAGGTGTGAGGTTTGTGTGGATGTGTACTTACAGTGTAAAGTTGATATTGAGTATTGTAAGGAAATGTAGGAAAGATTGTACAAGATATAAGGGGGGGGGGGTGAGTAATGGGGAGAAATTTACCATGAATAGAGCTGAGGATAAAATTCATTCTCCCTCCCCCCCCCCAACTTTTCCAAAGATTAATTTAAGAGTTTTTAAGACCTGAAGAGAAAAAAGGGAGTTATCGATAGTTGCTTCCTGTCAAAGGGCACACAGCAAGGTAAAAGTAATAACAGAAACTTTAGTTACTGCTTGTGATTAAGAGGTTAACTAAAAGCAGCTTCCACTGGATCGAAATATCTTCGAGTCTTCGACAGAAGATAAAAATCATTTAATAAACATTCGCTCCTAGAAATGTTGGGACATAACACTTCCCAAATTTGAATTTATTGTTACATGTTTCGTTGTACTAATCACTGCAATGTTTGATGAATTTTTGATATTCGTTTTTTAAGTAACAATAGTTGATATATGTGATTTTACAATTGTTTTGATGTGAAATAAACTAACGCGCGCTATGCATGATGGTTGTTGGCAAATTCTATTTCAAAAATCGAAAGAGTTCGTGAAAATTTATCTGTTGAAATTCAATTTTATACTTAAGGTGTCGTCAGCAGTGGACTGCATTTTATTTTATCGCTTAGATTCATCAGTCAACATATTTATTTGAGATTTGAAAAAAGGCTACTCTCTTTAACGCCTTTCACTTTTATTATGCACCACGTCTGCGTCCGCAAAGAATGATGGGCTTTTGTTACGACATAATGAGGCATTTGAACATGTGATATTGTATAGTTCGCAATCTCTTACTTCGTCATGATCATTCTCGTTGAACAGAAATTATG